TGGTTTCAAAAAGCAACCAATCAGAGGCTTTCAATTTTCCATCTGCCACACAGAGAAAGGAAGGAGGCTTACAAAAAGATGTAGCCTCCTGGTCCTTTGTTACTTAGGCGTGGAAAGTTGGGTTTTTCCTTTTGACCTGAAGTTCCCAGGAAGTCAGCGTGAATCAGCGTTTTGTGTCTCCCTGGGCTGCTCTGGGTGACTCATTCTCCTGTTCAGGATGACTGGCATACATGCATTGCCTTATTTGCTGTAGTGTCTTCTCCTCCATGTATATATGGGTCCTACCTCCCTAAACAGGCTGTCAGATCCTCAAAGGCATCTATCATTTAAGTTTCTGGAACCTTCACAGAATCAACCTTTGTACAAAGTAAACAGGAAGACATTGCTTGCTGTTTTGAAAGAGGAGGCATGGGGGTAGCAGGGAGGAAAGCTACCGGGCAGTGAAATCTCGGCTGAAGATAAGGCTGAATCTGTCAACAAACTTTTTTTTTTTTTTTTTTTTTTTTTTTTGAGACGGAATCTTGCTCAGTCGCCCAGGCTGGAGTGCAGTGGCGCGATCTCGGCTCACTGCAGGTGCAAGCTCCGCCTTCCCAGGTTCACCCATTCTCCTGCCTCAGCCTCCCAAGTAGCTGGGACTACAGGCACCGGCCGCCCACACTGCGCCCGGCTAATTTTTTTTTGCATTTTGTAGAGAGACGGGTTTCACCATGTTAGCCAATTTATTTTTGTCCGATCTCAAAGAAAGAAAGAAAGAAAGAAAGAAAGAAAGAAAGAAAGAAAGAAAATAAAAGAAAAAGAAAAACAAGAAAGAAATCTTAACATTCATTGAGCACTTAACGTTCCAGGGATGTGCTGAATCTTGCTGCTTTGATTTAGGTCCAGGTTCTTGAAAAGGCTTTGCAAATTGTAAATAGATTACTCCTCCCCTCCCCCAAGGTAAAGTATTATTATTGAAAGTAGTATTCAAAAGTCCTGAACGCTTTCTTTGTAATGAATACTCATTTGAAGGCTGAATACATTTAAAGCTTAGATGGAACACAGGATGGCTCTAAATCTGCCTCTTTAAACGCACATGTCCAGGTTGTGTCAATCAGGAGGGAATGGCTGAATTTTGCTTTGTGAATAGCCACTCTTTCTGGTGAATGATGATTTGTGTGGGGTCACAGGTCAAGAATGCTAATTTCATGTCTTTTGCTCTTACAGTACCTTTAGGGGACTGGCAAGCTAGTGAAAAATGGTTTGTAGTTTTGTAAACATCTTGTATTTTCTTGCCAAGCTTGCTTGGTGGCAGATCTTCCTTGGGGCAGAGGAATGGACTTGCCTTGGAGAGTCGCTGAACAGGTGGGATGCAGGGCCTGCCTGGCACCTGGAAAGTCCAATACCAGAAGGAAGGGCCAACACCTGGAGTGTCCAATTCCCTGAGGGCCAAAGCAGGAACGTCTTAACTCACTCCAGGAAGTGCTGGGATGGGAGCCACGCCCCAAGCAGGAGACCAGTTTGGGGGCTCCTACTTTGATTTCTAGAGAAAGAAATCCACATATGAGAGCAGGGTCTGGCAGTGGCCCTGGAGTCAAAAGCCACTGAGCTTAGGATGTCAGGGTCTCATATGTAGTCGCTTTGAATCATGAGCAGTTGGGGCTTTGGTTTTGCAAATTTTGGCAAAGAAGCAGGATATGTGGTTAGAGAGACTAAATCAGAAACTTAAACAATTCCCTGCTTGGAGAACTCGTTGCCTTAGCAGGCAGCCTATTTAAATTATAACAGCTCTAATGGGTTCGAAAGCTCTTTCTTAGATAGAGGTGAAATCTGCCTCCTTGGACCTTCTCCCCTTTGTTCCCAGCTCCGCCTTTAGGAACCACACAGATTAAATCTGCTTCCTCTATCCTCCAACAGACCTCAGCAACGTTGTTTTCCCACTCTCAGATTTGGTTGGGCACCTGCTATGGTCATATTCAGTTGGTTAGATGCCTTTCCATCCTTAGGATTCTATGTAGGGAGATAAGTGATCCTAAGCGGGATATGACAGTCCCTAAGTCACATAGTATCCCAGTGGCTCTACTAGGAATGCCTCCTTACTCCAGGTATGCTCTCTTCTATCCCCTGCAGACAAAAAGGCTGCCCTGAATTTCCATTATCCACCAGACAGACAGTTGTGCTTCTCCCCACCACTCCACCCCAGTCAAAGTCTTGCTCTGTCGCCCAGGCTGGAGTGCAATGACATGATCTCGGCTCACTGCAACCTTCACCTCCCGCGTTCAAGCGATTCTCCTGCCTCAGCCTCCCGAGTAGCTGGGATTACAGGCGTGTGCCACCACGCCCAGCTATTTTTTTATATTTTTAGTAGAGACAGGGTTTCACCATGTTGGTCAGGCTGGTCTTGAACTCCTGACCTCAAGTGATCTACTCGCTCCAGCCTCCCAAAGTGCTGGGATTACAGGCGTGAGCCACAGCGCTCAACCAACAGTTGTGCTTTGGCTAACCTGGGAAATGAATCCCTAGCCAACAGAGGCAAATATCATATAAAACCCCATAGAGTCAGTGCCTCTGCTGTGGCGGTAGTAGCAGTAATCAAAAGATGTTTACAGTATTAAATGCATTTTAAAAGGTCAAGTTTTTCAAAATATACACCCACCCCCCATCTGCTTCACCCTCACTCCCTTTGGCTCCCATCACTCTTAACAGGCAGTTTGCTGTCAAGTGCACAGAAGGTAATCTGAGCACATGCTGTAGAGGCAATTACATCTAATCTACTGGTGGAGATGACTGAGCCACCCCCGGTGCCACCTCCCCCAAATCCCCATCTCCTCACTGCCTGGCTTTCTCTCCTGAACTGCCCTTGGCAGCCTCGGACTCTGATTTCTTTGGCTCTGTCTGCACCAGCCAGCCAGCCAACCAGGCAGCCACAGTCATCAGTGAATGCCATTTAATACAACTTAAGCTGGAGCTTCTAACTAGCCTGTTGACCAAGTCTCCAAGGTCAGCCAGAAACTTCTATTGAGGCCCTGCCCTGTGCTAGTCTCTGTGAGAGGGAGAGGGAAACAAAAGAAATCAAAGCCAGAGGCCCTAGTCTCCCATGGGTTTACAGGCCTAATTAGCGATCTCCAAGCGGCTCTCTTGAGAAAAGCCTTCAGGACACTTACAAAACAACTTACAAGTGGGTATAATAGGGAGGGGAGTGAGCCTAGGGGAGAGTCTAAGTTCCTTGAGGGGAGGGCCCGGCCTTTGTGTCCTCTAGGGAAGGGCCTCTGCACTTCCTCATTAACCTTTTGTCCGGAGCAATTACAAAGAACTTCAGGCTGGCCATTCACTTTCTCTTTCTCTCTGGTCTCAGGCTCAAGGATCAAGTTGACAAATATGGGGACTTCACTGACTTCAGATGGGGGAATTTCAAAATCTCGCTAAGATGACTGAACAGGCCTTTGATGTAATGTATATCCATTTGCAGCTCAGCATTCCAGTCAAGGGGAGGAAGGATAATGCTTTCCTCTTGAGTGTCCTCCCTCATCATCTTCTGCTTTAATATAATAATAGAAGTACTTATAATAATAGCAGCCACTAGGCTAGGTACAGTGGCTCATACCTGTAATCCCAGCACTTTAGGAGGCTGAGGTGGGAGGACTGCTTGAGCTCAGGAGTTCCAGACCAGCCTGGGCAACATAGCGAGACATCATCTCTACTAAAAACAAAAATAAAAATAAATAGCTGGGTGTGGTGGTATGCTTCTGTAGTCCCAGCTACTCAGAAGGCTGAGGCGGAAGGATTGTTTGAGCCTGGGAAATCAAGGCTGCAGTGAGCTGAGATCGTGCCACTGCATTCCATCCTGCTGGGTGACAGAGCGAGACCCTGTCTCAAAAAAAAAAAAAAATATATATATATATATATATGCTTCTAATTATTGTATACCTACTCTATGTCGTGCACTTTACCTATATTATCTCATTTAATACAACTTCACATATCATTATTGCAATATAATTATTTTTAAGTTAAATGACTATATTATTTTTATTCTTTTTTGAAACAGGGTCTCACTCTTACCCAGGCTAGAGTGTGGTGGCATGATGTCGGCTCACTGCAACCTCAACCTCCTGAGCTCAAGCAATCCTCCCACCTCAGCCTCCAGCCTGTAGCCTGGGACTGAGGCAGGAGAATAGGGTCTGGAAGCAGAGAATCTAAGGCCTTTTCACACTGACTTCCTAGAACTAAATTGAAAGGAAAACCTTAACTATCCACTCCTGAGTAACAAAAGGACCAGAGGCTACTCTCTTTGCAAAGCCCCGCCTTTTCTGCACTGGCAGATGGGAAATTAAAAATAACTTTGTAACTTCACTTTAGCCTCTGACTGATTGCTGTATCCAACCAGTTACACTGATTGCAGACCAAGTCTTCGTTTGCATAGAAGTGCAACGTTGTAACTTCACTTTAGCCTCTGATTGTTTGCTTCCTGCAACCAATCAGATGTTTGCATAGGAGTGTGTCCTTTGTAACTTCACTTCAGCAGAAAGCAGAAGAATGTAGAAAGCAGCCAATCAGACTGATTGCAGGCCACCACTTCATTTACATGGAGTGAACACCAGGTGGCCAATGGGAAACCTCTAGAGGGTATTTGGATCCCAGAAGATTCTGTATCTGGGGCCCTTAAGCGGCTGCTCGGGCCCACTCCCACCCTATGGAGTGTACTTTCATTTTCAATAAATCTCTGCTTTTGTTACTTCATTCTTTTCTTGCTTTGTTTGTGCATTCTCTCCACTTCTTTGTTCAAAATGCCAAGAATCTGGACACCCTCCACCGGGACCAGGACTACAGGCCATCTAATTTTTGTTAATTTCATGGCGTTGCCATGTTGCCCAGGCTGAGATATTGATTATTTTCGAATACAAAATGTTCATTATGTTAAATGTTCATTATGTTAAATGAACATTTTGTATTTGTTCAAAAACAATAATCTGCAAAAACAAGAAGGCATTCTTCCACTTGACTTGGCAGTGATGAAAACTTACCCAGTGTTCTGAGTCTAATCTGGAGTCCTTCTGCAAGGTGTTGAAAAGAAATTCGAAGAGGGCCCTGAAGAAAACACCAAAGGCATGAAAAGTTCTGAATATACTGGTGAGATCCTGCTGTAAGACTTCTCATCACAGTCCCATTTCCCTATAGCAAAATGCTGTCTAAACCTCTAGGCAGTGGCATGTTTATTTAAAGCAATGTTTAGATCAACAGAAATTGAGATAGTCCCTGCACGTTTTTTGAAATGATTAAAAAGGAAAAATCTGTATGATCCATTAGGGTAAAAAAAAAAAAAAAAAAAAAAAAAGTGGTGTGAGCTAATATTTATCATCTGTACACTATGTTCAAGACACATTTAATCTTCACAGCCAACTTTTGAGGAAGATATTGTTATCATTATTATTATTAGACAGAATCTCGCTCTGTCACCCAGGCTGGAGTGCAGTGGCTCGATCTCAGCTCACTGCAACCTCTACCTCCCAGGTTCAAGCAATTCTCCTGCCTCAGCCTTCTGAGTAGCTAGGATTACAGGCGTGCACCACCATGTCCAGCTAATTTTTTTTTTCTTTTTGTAATTTTAGTAGAGGCAGGGTTTCGAGATGTTGGCCAGGCTGGTCTTCAGCTCCTGATCTCAAAGTGCTGGGATTACAGGCGTGAGCCACTACACCCGGCCGGAAGATGCTATTTTTATTCTCATTTTACAGCTGAGGAAACTGAAGCCTAGAAAGATTAAGTAACTTTCCCAAGGTCACATCTGAACAAAATGGCAGAGGAAGGATTCAAACACAAGTTTGTCCAATCTCAAATCGAATGTCCTTTCTATTACATCACATTGCCCCCTTGCAATTAATGAGAAAACCCAGATCAGGAGAGAACTGAGGGCAAATCTCAGTTTATCCAGCCTATCCTCCGTCTATCCAGCCCCGGGCAAAGTACTGAGCTGCTCCTTATCTCCTGTGGGCCAGTGGAAGAGCCCTCGGTCCTAAACTGCAACAGGAAGACTCTTCAGTCACTAAGCTTCATCCCTTTGAAAGGGCAGTGGTTACCCAGGCTCAAATTGGCACTGAAACAGCAGCCCTGTCCAGGCAAGACACCTGGGCTCACTTTGGCCTAATGTGGGCAAGTCCCTCTGCAGCTTGCTGCCACAAACTCCAGGCGACACACAAGGGTAAGGAGGCCCACCCTCCCCCTGCCAAGCCCTGCAGGAGTTGGGGGAGCCCTTCCTGCCTGTCAGGCTGGGTGAACCCTAGGCCAAGTGCCCAGTAGGGCTGGTAGCCTCTCCCTCTCTAGGCACCTTTAGCCACCTGTCTGAGGTGTCTTGTCCTGGACCTGCCTGGCAGCAGAAGACTGGATCCGGCAACTCCCTTAAGCCCCTTGCAGTGCAGTGAGACAGCTCCCAGAAAGCTCCATGGCCCTGGGGGTTAGGTAGCCTTGCTAGGGCCAGAGAGGAAGCTGAGGCTGGTCCATATGATATTCAGCCCAGGAGGCAGCTATGCCAGACGGTGCAGCCAAAACAGTGGGCCACCGTCTCTGTCTCTATTGCTTCTCCTTATGCATAATGGATCATGATTAGAATACTTGGAATGTCTGTGGGGCCTGTTTTCCAGAAGCTCAAAGCCCAATAGAGTACTTGAGTTTCTCAGTCAGTCTCACACACAGAGGCACACACACACTTTAAAGAGCAGGCCAAAAAGTGTTATAAATAAAATTCTAGAACATGAGTGGGAGGAATAAACAGGAGAATTTCACTGTAAGAGATGAAAATGCACCAACTCCTTGTGGATGGCTTCCCTCTGACAACCCACAATTGTGCTATTAATCTGAAACAGGCCTAGATATATTGTTACTTTGCTCAGGCTTCTCCTTCTTCTCCTTGTCAATACATGTGTTAAAGATGGTGTAAATACAGTTAGTTTTCCAGATAAAGCTAACAGTAAGAGAAAAAATGTAGTCTTCATTGACACAGTAAGAATATAACCTCATTGGTCACACATCGTCAAGCCTGCTTTCCTTCCAACCAGACAGGATTCTACGCTGTCAATCCCTAGGTTCTGCTCACTTCCTCCTCTCACTCCCTCTGTGTCCATTCTTCCTCCAAGCTAAAGTGTCTCCCAGTCTCCTCTCTCTGCCCATCCTCAAATGTTCCTCATCTGCTAGGCCAGGAATGTTCAATCTTTTTGCTTCTTTGGGTCACACTGGAAGAAGAATTGTCTTCGACCATGCATAAAATACACTAACACTAATGATAGCTGATGCACTTAAAAATTTTTTCAAAAAAACATCGCATAATATTTTAAGAAAGCTTATGAATTTGTGTTGGGCCGCATTCAAAGCCTCCATGGGCTGCGAATTGGACAACCTTGCTCTGGACCTTTACTCAAGGTATTCTATTTATCTGGTATGCCCTCAGCCCTCTTCCTACCCCTTTGAAGCCTCTCTGGTATGAATAACTCCCCTTGCCTGAGCCCATCCACAGAAGGCCCAATGACCTCACTCCTCCTCTGACCATGAGGACCACTGGCTATCTGGATCTAACACACACCGCCTGCCTTGTGAATTAATGTTTAGGTCTCCACCAACAGTGGATGCTGTTGTAGGACAGGCCAGGGCTGGGGTTTGTTCCCTGTTCATAGTATATGCTTGTGACGTGACTTTTTTTCAAAACTTCAAAAGCAAGGTGTTGTCCAGGAGTTGACTCTGGTTTTGATGACTTTAAGTGAAACATCATTTGTCTTACTAAATGGCTGTGTACATGATTCATAACTCCTGTGACAATTCCTATATCAGTTTATTCCTCCCTCCTTCTTCTCTCCTCCTCTCCACCTCCCACCCCCAGTTTTTTGACTAGTGTTCATGGTGGGCTAAATGATTCCTATTTTTCAAGGCAAGGTAGCATTTTCTAAAATAACACAAGAGCCAGCTCCATAGCTCTAGAACTTCTTTCAACTCTTATATTCCACAAGCCAGGAAATACACAGAGAGGTTGCTAGCAAGTAGAAAGATGTTTTAGTTAGGAATCCACAAATTAGAAATAAAAGAGTCCATGGAAAAAGACTGGTTCTGGAAGGCTCAGAAGAACTCTTAGAGAATCTGTTAAATCATATTTTTGTCTGCTGTTTGTAAATGTGACTCGCTTTGAAACCATCTGCTATGCAGTCCTTTGGAGAGAGCTGAGAAGTATTTAAATCTGGGAAAATGAGTATATTTTTGTATCTACCAAAGCAATGTTTTAATGGGTCCCTGCTGCATGTTGTCCAGTGCATTCTTTGAAATGTGATTTTATCCAATTGTCAAGTAACATTTAGAATGGAATTCAAAGAGGGGATGTGACAGTACACAGTGCACAGAGGGGCTGCTGCAGTTTGCGGTGTAGTATTCTTTCACAAAATGAAAAGAGGGCCTGCAAGGCAGGTGGTACAGCAGTGTTTCTTCACGGGTGCAGGGTGGGGTCAAAGCTTTTGCTGCTGCTCTCTCAGTTTAGGGAAGCAGCCGTTCCCCAGATTGGGGGAGGACCTAGGCCAGCTGCTCCTCATCCCTTAGCAAACAGCTAGCTTTGTGCAGCCAAAATTGGGCATTGCTGACAGCTCCGCAATTCAACCTTTATAACGTTTCTGTTTTCACTATTGCCTTCGGTCCCTATGGCTAATATCACCAACTGAGCAGTGCCCAAGACGTCTAAATTACTGGTGCAGCAGCAGCTGTTACAGTAAAGAATTTGAAAATCATCGAAAAGGCTTCCTCATGTTGTATGGAGAAGGTAGACTAAAAGAAAAGCTCCTTTTTCCAAACACCTGTAAGATTAATTTACTGGTGTTGCACACATGCTGTTGTGGACCATCAGTTGTCTCTTGGTGAGGCATGTCTTGGCTTCCCAGTAAAACTGTAAGCCTTTTGAGGGCCAGGATCATGTCTAGTGCAAAAATTGAATGTCAGAGCTGGACAGAACTTCCAGAGTTTGCCGGGCGCGGTGACTCACGCCTGTAATCCCAGAACTTTGGGAGGCCGAGGCGGGCAGATCAAGAGGTCAGGAGATCGAGACCATGCTGGCTAACAGGGTGAAACCCCGTCTCTACTAAAAATACAAAAAACTAGCCGGGCGTGTGGTGGGCGCCTGTAATCCCAGCTGCTCGGGAGGCTGAGGCGGGAGAATGGGGTGAACCCAGGAGGCAGAGTTTGCAGTGAGCCGAGATCGCGCCACTGCACTCCAGCCTGGGTGACAGAGCGAGACTCCGTCTCAAAAAAAAAAAAAAAAAAGAACTTCCAGAGTTCAAATACCAGAGATGAGAAAATTGGGGACAAGACAGTGGTAAGAGGCAGAGTTAGAACTGAATCAGAAGCCATAGGACTCATAGCCCAATAACTTCACATCATGCCAACCCCCAACATTTGCTACTGACAGACTATTCAACGACTGCCTCACAGAGGGAAACAGGATAGAACTTTCACTTGTAACACCCAGAAATGATCCATGAGAAAGAAGGTGTGTCAGCCAAGCACAGTGGCTCACAACTGCAATCCTAGCACTTTGGGAGGTGGAGGCAGGAGGATCATTGGAGTCCAGGAGTTTGAGACCAATCTATGCAACATGGGGAGACCCCATACTTACAAAAATAAAATAACAAAAATTATAAAAAGCCAGGCGTAGTGGCTCACGCCTGTAATCCCAGCACTTTGGGAGGCCGAGGTGGGCGGATCACGAGGTCAGGAGATCAAGACCATCCTGGCTAACACGGTGAAACCCCGTCTCTACTAAAAATACAAAAAATTAACCGGGTGTGGTGGTGGGCGCCTGTAGTCCCAGCCACTTGGGAGGCTGAGGCAGGAGAATGGTGTGAACCTGGGAAGTGGAGTTTGCAGTGAGCCAAGATCGCGTCACTGCACTCCAGCCTGGGTGACAGAGCAAAACTCCATCTCAGGAAAAAAATAAATAAATAAATAAATAAAAATTAGCGGGGCATGGTGGTGCATGTCTGTAGTCCCAGCTACTCGAGAGGCTGAGGTGAGAGAATCACTTGAGCCCAGGAGTATGAGGCTGCCGTGAATTATGGTTGAGCCACTGC